TTGGTCGAGTCGATGATGAAACTTCATATTCTGGTCGACGAAATTCTTGGATTTTAAAAGAATGTGTTGTTTGAGTTTGTGAACTTGGTAAATTAAATGTTACCCATCCTTCACCTAATTGGTGATATAAAATATACAAATAATTAAGAAAATATTTCAACTATGAAACTTACCTAAATTAACATTGTCAGGCAAAGTAAATTTGATATCGAATGCACCGTAACTATTCAATTCAACTTTAGATTCTTGAAGTTGTTGACCACGAGGATCATGAACTGTATAATCGATGACACCTTGTGCATAACTTGGTAGTTTAGCATCGCCTTTTACTGCCAAGTATCGAACGTATCCTTTGACATGCACCTCTTCTTTTGGTTTGTATAAACCTCGATCATTGAATACGTGCCAAACATAAGTATTCACATTTGAAGCATAAGAATAGATGTCGGGTAACATACATAAATCTTCGCCTTTTCGTGCTATCAACATTTTTCCTTGGTTGTTTTCCTCTGCAATATTCTGGAGGATGGTGCACAATCCTTGTTGATTTGTTTCACCTTTCTGATTTGATATGGAAACAGTTGCTTGTTGAACAGGCACACCAGTCATTAAGTCAGTTATCCACGTTGTAAATCGAACACTTGTGCCACCACGTGCTGATGAATGAAATACATCGATCGCTAATCGAGTACATTGTAACCAAGCCGATATGACCGGTTTTTCTTCCCATTTATTATGTGGATATTCATTCCAAGCTTTTTGTGTTGGTGTAATCAAAATTATTAGTTGACCAACACCTGATTCTTGTGCTAGATAGGATTTTAATGGAATTTTCATTTCTTTTGGTTCATCACGTTCGCAATTCGTTTGTATCGTTTCATTGACTAATTCTTTTCCCGGTAAATGAATATTCGCTATTCTTTTTCCATTTCCATATGAATAGGGTTGGAAACACGGTAACTCTTGTCGAAAATCTGTTGGTTCGACTCGATTAACACAAAGTGTTACTTCCGAATAATTATAAATCATAAGTGGATAAAATGGTTCATCTAATACGCCAGGATCCATGATAATCATACCTAGAACAAATGTCGCTGATTGAAAAGAAAGAATCCACAGTTGAACGCACCTGTAGCACCTGACAGATGACCTTGTGGTGGTGGTGAATCGTGTACATGAAACTGAATAGGTTGTGCAGCAAAATCGTGCTCTAATGTTTGACCGTGAATATCTTTTAATACATCTGGTTGAATGGTCAATGTGTAAACAGTATTTGGCTTGGAATTATTGTGTATAGTTATTTGTTGATTATTATATTCGATATGTTCAATACCTTAAATGAGACTTTATTTTCGGTACATCGATGAAGGATCGCAATTTACCTAGGCCAGTGACTTCTGGTTCAACTTTAAAGATCGATTTATTAATTGTCGAATGATCCAATGCGTTGTTGAATGTTACCCACCAGCTATCACCAGGATTAGTCGATGATTGGTATTGTTCGTTCTTATTCGGATACCAACCGATAATTTTCAGAGGCTCATATGTTTGAAAACTGTTTGACCATTCTGTTGTACTTTTTAATGGACCCTCAGCTGATGGACAACCTGCAGGTACTTTAACGAAATATTGTGTCGCTTTTGATAGATCGTTTTTGAATGTAAATGCAACAGATCTCCCATTGATTCCTTCATCGGAACGAAAAAATCCTTCCAATGCTTTTTCTCCTGCGGCTTCATCCAACAGTTCCAAATCATTGTTTGATATTTCACATCCGTTATCGCTGACTACGCGTAAATGTTTCAGGATCTGATTTTGGTCAATCTTTTGATCGAACAACAGACAACACGTCGGCTTTAATGTTGCGACTGTACCATATGGTGTGAATTGAACAACGCTTGGTGGCGTTGTAGCAAATTCGAATGAGAGTTCATCCGCTAATTTTCCTAAGGGAAAAAGAGAAAAATTCGAATTTGAGAAATTCTGTACAAGACTTACCACCGATTGCTGATACACATTTGTCTTTCTTGACCTGTAATGTGTACTTTGTTGCAAATGGTAAACGATGTTTCGCTTCAAATTGAACCGTTTTCGTACCTGTCCATCGCCATCGACCTTCGACATTCGGTGTCAATGATATACCAAGATTTTCTACATTCGTGTTTTCATCCAGTGTAGAGACGGCGATCATCGGTTGGTTGAACGTGATCGTAGCTGTTGCTAGTGGATAATTTATTTCAGTTTCAGTCGGAGAATATCGTTCGATAATGAGCGGACCTGCTTCTTGTTGAGCTAATTGTTTTAACTGTTCAGGATCGATATCAGCACACTCTTTACGATCTTCAGCAGGTGGCGGAAATGGTGCTTGGATAATTTGACCTGTTTTCGGTGCTTTAATTGATGCATCCCGTTTGAAAAATTCCTGTTTATCATCGGATTGTGTCACCAATTGAGAACTGGCTCGAGAAAACAACTGTTGTAATTGTTCCGAAGTCAAGTTCTCTTGTTGCGATTGTGAATCGTCCACCAACGATGATTCACCGGCATCAGTCGTAATTTGTTCATCAGCTTGATCAGCTTCACTGAGAGCGAAGGAGAACTTGAAGGGTTCGGATGGTTCATTTGCAACCGGTTGAATGGGACGTCGCATTATTCTTGGCATGTTAGAATGAAAATGAAGTAGAAAGGTAATTTTATCTAAAAGATAAATATTATGAATCAACCTGATTAATCAGTATGTATGAATAATTCTTTCTCAATCGTGCATTTTTATATGGCTAGAAAAAAAAAATCAAACGGGGTCCTATGTACATTTTTTTTGTTCGTAACAAGAAAAATGTCATCTACAATTAATGAAAGAAATTTCGTCTTGTTTTTTATACTGCAACAGGCATGAAAGCGATGATTGTAGGAGGCAAAAATAGCACAGAGAAAAACAAGCACAAAATGTATTACTTGTTTTTTTTATGAGTTTAATGAGATGTGCAATACTCGTTGTGCAAGTTGTTTTTCGCGTTCTATCTTAATGATTTTTATATCAACCTTTTCGATGAAAGTCCAATTAGAAAAATATTCAAGTAATTTCTCTTTCCATCGAAGAAGAAATACATGTTAAACTATGTTTCTAATCGCCGAAAGGTGTAAAACAAAGAAACAACTACAAAGGTTTCTGTGTCGATTATCGACGCGAGTCAGATCAATGGAATGTCAAACTTAATTCTCATGATCAAGTGTATTTTGTCGCTGAATTTGAATGCAAGTTTCGGTGATGAGAATTCAAAGTGTTGTGGATACTCGATATGAAGAATATTTGTCTATGCATATTGTTTTACATGCACGCTTAATGGAGCAAACGACGAAAGAAAAAACAACATACACTGGCTAATCGATGAATTTTTTCATATGAAAGTAAATATATCAAGCAGATGTCACTGAACATCAGACTCAGAACAACAATTCTTCGATATTGGTTATTTAATAAGAAATGCATGACATATCCGTCAGAGGTTGAAGAAAATCCCGTATCACATAATCGCAGTCAAATACTTTGCCTCGTTATGATTGGCAGAGAATATACTTTTTCTCCTTGTTGAGACTTCTATTGACTTACATCCCTCATACAGCGTGGTGGCCTAGATTTTATTTCAAGAGAACTATTGACAATGTAACACGCACTACGATGAATCAGCTTGATGACTATTTACACAAAAAAATATGTTTGACTTCATTTCGAAATGTTTTCGAGACGATTAAGTTGGTATAAAATCCAACACAGTATGGTATATAACCGAAAAATGAACATATATATTGAATTGCAGTATCCGCCTGGATTTGATCGGCACTTTTCATATTCGATTGAGTAATCTGAAGGTATAAATTAAACGCTGTTTGAGGATATGTGCACATGACATATACACAAATGTCGATCAATAAAATACGAACTAATTGATAATCTCTCGCATGAAATGATTGTATACTACGGCTTTTTCCCGTTCCCATCGTTAGTATGTCGGGAGCGACTAGCCGGAATCTCAGTTGGTGAACATTTCTGATCGCTAAAATGCCCAAACTTGCCAAAAGTGATGGAATCAGTATGCTTTTAATGACTGTATAGTAGCTGATAGCTGACAAATATATTGGCGACTGTGTATAACATATAAAAACATCTGGTGCCAGCTGGATGACGGACATGAGAAACCATGGATGACTGTGAAACAACAACCACAACAGTGTTACACAGACAATACTGATGTAAGCACGACGACAAGTACTTCGTTGTCTCGTCAAAGCATTTGGTGAAGTGACTAGGATACGATCGATAGAAGCCAGAATCAATAAACTTGGACTAAGAACATCCAGCGCGAAAGCTGTATACAAATTAAATCGACACAAGCCTAGTGTGCGTGTAACAACTGTCATGCCATATCCAATGGATAATACAGATGCTAATATGAGTGTAACAATCTGGACCAAATTAGAAATATGAAACGCTGTCATATAGATCGAACATGGATTTTTCCGGAGAATCTTTTTGTTGAACACTATGCAACTGAGAGAAGAGCCAACCAAACCTAAAACTAACATGACGGATCCGGGATATTGAAAGAGATACTTGTAGGTTAGTTGTAATGAGTTTATGTAGTCGGTAGTTGTTGATTGTGAAGACATGGAGAAGAAGAGACTGTCGGTGGTAAATACGAAGAATAAATGTAAAGTAGAAATAACTTTCACAACTTTCTTTATAATCCGCCTTTACTCTATATTTCAAAGAGAGAGAGAGGGTGTAAAGGAAATTCCATTTTGAGCGATCTATTCCGGAGATGTCTCTTCCTTGCATTCATTATGGTGTATTTATAATTATCGTATGTTGGTTTCATCGATTTATACATGTCAATTCACATATAGGGCACCGGTTCTTGACGAGCGTTTTCTTCTGATAAATGACATGAATGAATAGATCGTAATTTCGGAAAGAGATGAAAGTTGAGTGCAATATCAATATTATGCTATTTTTGTAAAATTTTCAGGCCAAACAAAGACACGATAATCAGCTAAAGAAAACGCTCATGGTATTAATATCACACACGGAAACTGTGAAACGAGAGGTAATTGTCTATTATTGAGAGACTCGAAAGGCATCCACAGTAAAGTTCTTCATTCCTAACAAAGGATAGTATATTTGAAAGTCATCAATATTCTAAGTAACTTTCGAGTTCATTATATTACACTTCGTTCATCTGAAGATGTTGATAAGTTTCTTGGAAGCCTGAAGCTAAAAATTAACGTCACGTTAGCAAAAGGATGACATACAATTGTTTTACCTGCGGATAGATATTTCGAAAAGTAGCAGTGTGATTTTGAGGTTATATTGAGTGTTAAATTTTCAGTAGAAACTTAGATACATGCATCTATTATTAAATATATCATTGGAAGTATAGCGATTTGTTCATACAGAATATTTATTTGCAAAAATGAACATTATTCGCTTCTTTTCGAAATATTTTCGACAAAATCAGCTCGGTGTAAAACTCAACACAGCATGGAATAAAAGCCAGAAAGGCGTATACACTAATGTGGGATGAGAAAAACACGGACCAGTTGACGATCCTTCAAATGGAACGATCGTGTACTACGATGACTACCTGTAGTCGTTTCCAGTGTGTCAGGATGGACTGCGCGATGTCTCGTTCGATGAATATTTCTTACAGATAAAACTTCTAGACCTGCGACAAGCGATGAGATTCAAATACTTTTAATAACCAAATAATAGACATGAGCAACCATAGATGAATATGAAATGACACCCATACTATTGTCATGCAAACAATGCTGATACAAGCTAGACGACAAGTACTGCGTTGTCTCGTCAAAGCATTTGGTGAAGTGACTCGAATGTGATCGATAGAAACCAGAATCAATAGACTTGGACTAAGAGCATTCAAGGCAAAATCCATGTACAAAGAAAATCGATGAACACCCGATGTACTTCTGATGAATATCACACCATAGCCAATGGATAGTACGGATGGCAGCATGAATGTAGATTGAACACGTTTTTTTTCGCAAAGAGACTTTCTATTGAAGACTATGCAGCTAAAGATACAACCAACCGAACCTAAAACTACGAAGATGGATCCAGAATATTGAAAGAGATACTTGTAAATTAATTTCCGACTGTGAAATCGATGCATCTGCTTGTGCACTTTTAAATCACTGTGACTTGCTCAACGAAAGTAGCCAAGTACTTTTACATGCCTATCTCTTCTATATCTGCCACAATTACCGCCTGTTTTCTTTTCATCTTCCGTTCATGTCATTATAGTATCTTAATCGATAATCACACTTTCTATTGGAAGTAAGCGGTTCAGAAGAACTAGCCTACAAATATAATTTTGATGGATCGTGAAGTTCACACTGTATTTAAACGTATAATTTCGTATTTCTGCTTTGGAACAAATAGTTTCATTTTGGAATCACATGAGAAACGTTGTATGTGATAGAACTATCCAAAACATCCTCAAGCGTGCACTGAATTATACTTCTTTGAGTAAGAGATTTGTAACCTTATCTCGGAAGAATATTGAACTCCTGCTATTAGTTTTGATGGAATGATAGTTGATTTTTGCCCGGTGTCCTATTTATTCTTTCTTTTCTTGTGACGTCGTTTACGTTCGTAACCGACAGACAAACATTGAACTTTGCAATCGTTGGAAACTCAATTACGATTGCATGCTATATTCTTATTTGATCAAACTAAGTAGAACAAAGAAGCCGGGATGTGAACATAGGCAAAGAATATTTACTTTATTCTTGAAAGAAGCGTCAAATGTGAAAGATGCTATCGATTTGTCTCTTAACACTAGCTATGTTCTATCAAATATCGTGCGAACAAATGGGATGCATATCGAATGTGACATTCGTATCGCTAGATAGGAAAATAATCGAGTTTAATCGAACCTTCGATGAGTGTGCATGCTATCAATTGCAATCCAATTTCTCTGGTTTCAATTACTTTATGCAAAACCAAACATGTGAACTGTTTGGAAATTTTTCTACTGGGTTTGTTTTCTTGCAAAGTTTCCAAAGTCAATTTTGTTTTGTCAATCAACCAAATGCTACTTTGGGTAGCACGACGTTGACAACAATGGCTAGCTCAATGGTCACATCTGTGCAAGCATCGATTTACTCACGCTGGAATTCAACTGGTATCACTGTCGCGAACGGTAATGGAAACACCAGCGTCCTCAATCCTTATGGCGTCTTTGTCGATGATCAATATAATATATATATCGCAGAGAAGGGCAACAGTCGAGTTTCTATATGGCCTCCTAATCCTAATGGCTTAGCGTCTGCAGCTATTTTTAAAACTGCTAGTGGACAACTCAATGCTCCGCCTAGTTTATACGTGGATAGTAATACAGGTGATATATACGTAGCAGATGAATCAAACCATCGAGTGGTACGCTTCCCGAATGGATCAACAATAGGTCGCAATGTGACGAGCTTTTTATTGAATACTTCACCAACCGTGTCGGGTATCTATTTGGATCCGAATGGAACTATTTTTATTACAGATACAGGAGGAAATCGTATATATAATTGGTTCACTAATCACAGTGCTGTTGGTGGAAATGGGGCAGGCGCTAATACCAATCAATTAAATTCGCCGAAACGCTTTTTTATTGACAAGAACTATACATTTTATGTTGTCGATTCAACGAATAATCGAGTACAAAGATGGCTTCGTGGAGCAACGTCCGGAGATACAGTAGCCGGCGGTTATGGATCAGGTACAAATGCAAGTCAATTAAATGGACCTCTAGCTGTTGTGGTCGACAGTCAGGGAAATGTGCTCGTCTGTGATTCAACCAACAATCGAGTTCAAATGTGGAGGCCAGGCTGGACTTTAGGTATAACTGTTGCAGGTAATGCAAATGGTTCGGCAGGTTCAGGCTCTATAGGATTAAATGCACCTAAAGGAATTGCCATTGACAAAAGTGATAATTTTTATGTGGTTGATACTAACAATCTTCGAATACAAAAATTTTCTATTTTATAATACTTTATTGGTGTTCGAACAGTTTTTAATTCGTAGTTTCTCTAAATCATCATTAGATTATACAGGCCAGTTTCCATTCTTCTCACAAACGTTCTTCTTCACCATCAATAATATTATAACCACTGTTGACAACACTTGTTTCCAATGAAATATCGGCAAATCGTTCTGTGACAATTTTTAACTACTCAATAACATTATGTTGTAAAATTTTTTGTTCACCTTGATATTTTGTAAACATCGATTGATATTCAATTTCATCATAACAAATAACTTCAATGCTGTGAAACATGTATGGATCTCCTGTTCTAACTGCGACAATCTCCAAGATACCTGGCCAACGGTGAATATTTTTTTGAAGGATACTAAGATGATTGTAAGAGGTAAACACTATCGTATTATTCGATCGATCATCCGACAAATGGCATGTCATTCTAATATCTGAAATACCAACTTCTTTGAGAAAATTATAGATAGCCGAGTCATCTTTGATTACTTTAATTCCTACTGCTCAACAATTCTGAGCCATATAACTCAGTATGAATGAAAGTTCTTTTGTTCTTCTTCTCTAGTCTTGGTTAGTCAATATTGTCTTAATTCCTGCTTTTTTTTGTTTTCTAAGTACACTTTATTTAACACAAGTATAGAAAAATTATTTCTCGTTTAGTTAGTTATAGTAGTGTCACAATACTCTCCGTGTCAGCAGATGATCGATTCGATTGTGCATCCGAAGATTTGGAGTGTATACCCCATTGCATTGTGTAACGTTTTACTAAATCCCGTTGTAAATATAGTACATTATGTATCCGATTGTACTGAGTAGATGTCAGTAGAATCTGGATTNCCGTCTCCATTCTTCAAATAAAAAAATCGTTAGCGGATGTTTTCTTCCTAGACTCTATCACGGAGCAATGACCCTGGACTATGTTCAGGCATTCAAGCACTCCTATGTAGCCCATCACAAAGCGACGTCTACCTTAGATATAATGAGCAGAGAACCGGTTAGAGTTAAAGAATGCTCCTTCACTCTCTGAAAACCGACAAATACGAAACAATTCTGTTATTAACTATGATTTCTAACCGACCGAAAACAAACTACTATGGCATATTGTTCTTTCTTCACAAAAGCACCGAATCACAAACAGGAAGCTCGAAACTAACAAATAAGCCTGGTAAACACAGCAAGAGTGATTCCGCACAAACATATATTCGACATAACTAGTGCTTTCGAACCTCTTATCGCAAAATCCGCAATACCTAAACTTCCCCATCATATTTTCTCACTCTTCCAATTTTTACACTTGTTTTCTATTATTTTTTACTTCACAGTATGCAACAGCATGTACTTCGGATCGCTCCCTTTTCCCACTGGTTCTAGTCCGGCATCAGTTGCGATCGCTGATGTTAACAATGACGCAAAACCTGATCTAGTTACAGCAAATTCTAATCCCGGCACAGTTAGTATTCTTCTCAATACAGGTAATAGCACATTTGGTTCTCCGACTACCTATACAACTGGCGGCTACCCATACACAGTTGCAATCGTCGATGTTAACAATGATTCCAAACCAGATATAGTTACGGCAAATTACGGTGACAGCACAGTTAGTGTTCTTCTCAATACAGGTAATGGCACATTTTCGTCTAAGACTACCTATACAACCGGCAGTTATCCATACTCAGTTGCGGTCGTCGATGTTAACAATGATTCCAAACCTGATATAGTTACGGCAAATAGAGGTGGAAGCACAGTTAGTGTTCTTCTGAATACAGGCAATGGCACATTTCCTTCTCAGACTCCCTATACAACTGGCAGTTCTCCATACTCAGTTGCGGTCGTCGATGTTAACAATGACGCAAAACCTGATATAGTTACAGCAAATTACGGTGACGCCACAGTTAGTGTTCTTCTCAATACAGGTAGTGGCACATTCCGTTCTCAGACTATCTATACAACTGGCAGTAATCCAAGCTCAGTTGCAGTCGTCGATGTTAATAATGACGCGAAACCTGATCTAGTTACAGCAAATTCTGGTGTAAACACAGTTAGTGTTCTTCTCAATACAGGCAATGGCACTTTCCGTTCTCAGACTAACTATACAACTGGCAGTACTCCAAACTCAGTTGCAGTCGTCGATGTTAATAATGACGCGAAACCTGATATAGTTACAGCAAATTCTGGTGTAAACACAGTTAGTGTTCTTCTCAATACAGGTAATGGAACTTTCCGTTCTCAGACTACCTATACAACTGGCCGTAATCCAAGCTCAGCTGCAGTCGCAGATGTTGATAATGACGCGAAACCTGATATAGTTACGGCAAATTACGGTGACGGCACAGTTAGTGTTCTCCTCAATACAGGTAGTGGCACATTTCCTTCTCCGACTGCCTATACAACTGGCAGTAATCCAAGCTCAGTTGTAGTCGTCGATGTTAACAATGATGCGAAACCTGATCTAGTTACAGCAAATTCTGGTGTAAACACAGTTAGTATTCTTCTCAATACAGGTAATGGAACTTTCCGTTCTCAGACTAACTATACAACTGGCAGTAATCCATACTCAGTTGCGGTCGTCGATGTTAACAATGATTCAAAACCTGATCTAGTTACAGCAAATTACGGTGACAGCACAGTTAGTGTTCTTCTCAATACAGGTAATGGCACTTTCCGTTCTCAGACTACCTATACAACTGGCAGTAATCCATACTCAGTCGCGGTCGTCGATGTTAACAATGATTCCAAACCTGATATAGTTACGGCAAATAGAGGTGGAAGCACAGTTAGTGTTCTTCTGAATACAGGCAGTGGCACATTTCCTTCTCAGACTCCCTATACAACTGGCAGTTCTCCATACTCAGTTGCGGTCGTCGATGTTAACAATGACGCAAAACCTGATCTAGTTACAGCAAATTTCGGTGACAGCACAGTTAGTGTTTTTCTGAATTCAGGTAGTGGCACTTTCCGTTCTCAGATTATCTATACAACTGGCAGTAATCCATACTCAGTTGTGGTCGTCGATGTTAACAATGATTCCAAACCTGATATAGTTACAGCAAATTCTGGTGTAAACACAGTTAGTGTTCTTCTCAATACAGGTAATGGCACTTTCCGTTCTCAGACTAACTATACAACTGGCCGTAATCCATACTCAGTCGCGGTCGTAGATGTTAACAACGATGCGAAACCTGATCTAGTTACATCAAATTACGCTGATGCCACAGTTAGTGTTCTCCTCAATACAGGTAGTGGCACATTTCCTTCTCAGACTATCTATATAACTGGCAGTCATATATACTCAGTTGTAGTCGTTGATGTTAACAATGATTCGACACCTGATATAGTTACGGCAAATTACGATACAGGCACTGTGGGTATTTTGTTTCATTGCTAAAACTTAACAAGAAATCATTCATTGTTTGTGGAAGAAGCATGCCTTAAATTGATTCCATTGACTGATATTCTCCAGTATTCATATTCTCGCGCTCGCTTTTCAATTATTTGTTTAACTATTGACCATTTCCTAAAACTTTTATCTGAATAAAATACTCGAAGTAATAATGACGTCAGTAACCTTTTAGAAGAATAATAAGAGTAGGTAGTACGTCACTTGTCAAAAGAGCGTTGTACTTCAGTTTGGTTTTGTGGAAAAGATAGAGAAAGTTGATTTATGTAAGGATAGTGTAATAGATGCTAAATGCTAGTAAAAAGAAGTTCATACGTCGGCATTTTTATGCAATGATAAGAATAGTAAGGAATAGAATAGAAGAAAAAGGAATTTTGTATGGTATGTGTTCCTACTCTTGTGTTCATCACAAAAAAGAAAAATTGCATTGAGCCAGAGCGGGCGGATGAAACACTCTGTAAAAGCTTAAATTTACATTCTTTTCAAGTTTCGCAGACATAATGCAATATACTGGATGTCTCATAAGCGCGTATAGAAAGTTTTCATTAATATTTTCTATACGACACAAGCAATTAAATTAACTTTTTCATAAAATGATAGTGTATTCTCTTAAGTTTTATTTCATATATTTTGGTTTATAACAAATGCTCAAAATGATCAGCATCACTCTCAATACATAAATGCATCCTTTTCAGAATATTGAAAAAAAGCTTTCAGCGTAATTCGTATGGAATTAAAATGTGAAACACGACGCAACTATCATTCCAAAATAATGAATTTGATCTATAAGAGACGTAATTCCTTTTTCTGAAAGAAAGGGTTATAGCGTCATAGATCTGGTCGTTGAAATGCGAAAAGTTTGCTTGCTTGTTTGCATAATCCAATCAGCTTGCAGCATTCAATAAATGAATGAAAACTTAACCATGATCATTAGCAAACGATTGATGAAAGGTTTTCGGGGCCGAGGATCACGAATCCGTGATCAGTTTTTCCAAAGAACTTTTTGTTTCCTTTTTGTGTACTCAAAAAGTGAGTACACTATAGAATCGGTCAGTATGTCCGTCCGGCCGTCCGACCTTTAATCCAATTTGCATGAAATTTGATACATAGCATTATCTTGTAAATGCCTCGGTCGAGTTCGAAGATGAGCCTGATCGGCTGTACTCTTGCTGACTTTTGGTAAAGTTTTCTCTAATTCCTATATGAAAAACTTGAAGATTTGCGTGTTTATCCGCTTGTTCGCTTTGCATTCACTTTTCGTATCAGCTATGACCACGAAACCTTCTGTACTGTTTCTTTGGATCCAGAAAAATGCTGATTGGCCAGTGAAGGGGTAGGCCTGGGTGACCTGGGTGAGATCTGGGTGGAATTTCACCCAAGCGATTTTGCATCAGAAAAAGCCATGAAATCTTTCATAGAGCTTCTGTGAATGTAGGGAAACATCGAAAGAGATTTAGTGAACCAGTAATGAGGGTGGGTAAGGATGGCGTGGGTGGAATCTCACCCAAGTGGTTCCATAACTGAAAAGGTCGCGAAACTTTGCAGGCTGTCTCCATATGTCTAGAAAGCGGCAAGTTACTGTTCGCATACTAGTGAGGATGATAGGTGTTGACGACATGGGTGGGTGAGGGTGAAATTTCACCCACGCTATTTCGTGTCAAGACTGTACGCCAAACCCTCCGTACTACTTTTGTGGGCATGTGGAACGGTAGATGGATAGTTAGGAAGCCCGCAACGATATGGATAAGTTTGGCGTCGGTGAGTTATGATCCAAGTGATCCTATGGCAGATAAGGTTGTCAAACTTTGCATGCTGGATTTTGTGTACTCAAAAAGTGAGTATACTATAGAATGGGTCAGTAGGCCCGTCTGGGCGTTAATCAGATAACTCCTGAAAGAATAATCCGATTTTCATGAAATTTAGTACATAGCCATATATTCTCAATGTCGCAGACGAGTTCGATGATGAGCCCGATCGACTGTAATACTTCTAACTGAAAAAATAATTCTCAGATTCTTGTGTGCCATCTGATACACTTTTTGAAGTACACACAACTTTCGGATAAACTATTCGACAGTTGTAAGTTCATTTCAGCAGAATATTCATCGCGATTGTTAGTAACACATTGTCGACTGAAATCTCCAACAGCTGCGCTTAAAAGACATGATGGTTCTTCTTTGGAACATTGAAGCCGATGTTTTTGAATCGATGAACAGTTCATAGTTATATTCGGAGAGCTGACCATATTAAAGACATATGGTTCGTCGCCGTTTACTTCACAGTTCATCTCTCCATCAGCTACACATCGCGGAGAGATTGAATAAAAAAACGATTTGTATAAACCTTTCCAACAGTTTTCATCGTAATGCAACAAATGAGTTCAAAGTGGCGGCACCGTAGTCGATAAATCTTAGATCTTGAACCGAAACTTGAAATGCATTGCATTTAACACTTCCAAAATATGAGAAATTATTCGGCCGTCGATTTTCATACAGATAATCCAATATCTATAAATGTTTTCACATATGGAGCCAGTACACCTTCTATAGGATACTCAACATAACTGCCAATACTTGTACAATTATAGTGTATGATAATATTTCGACAATTTTGTCCGTTGCAAGGACAGTCGAGTCTTCGATCATTGGTTAAAGCGCATTTAATAAAAAATAAACATATCGCGCTTGTATTATTACCTCCTAGTCGATAATAGAGCGTACAGTGGCCGCTTTTCACTGTCCACACTACTGGCCCAGCGTTACCTAATTCACAATAAAATTTCTCTCTCAAAAACTAAGACAATGCTCATTTTCAACTAATTGGCTATACAGCACAGCTACATCTGGATAAAATTCACCATCACCACAAAAAAACGGCTATTCCAGTACGAACAATTGAAATCGCGAGTTTGAATGTACAGTTGATAAATTGAATAGAAACGTTTCCTAAGACTCTATCTTGTTCATCGGTTCGATTCTTACAGTCAATATTACCATCAAGAAAGAATTCCTCATCAATACATTGTTGTTTACCATCACATATATTTCTCCAATCAAGACATAATAAACCAGAATCACATGCCAAAGTTTTCTAACATATTTGATTTCCTATATATTGACTTCAAAAATTATGAATTCTCTTTACGCTAAATTGATGTTGAATGGTTTCTTCAAAAGTTGAATTATTCATAAAATTTACCAAATGTACCAACTTTTGTGCAATTATATAAAAACATATTTTTACCATCATCAGACGTGTGATGACTCAAACTAAACAGCAATCTTAATGAATGCTTAACTTTGCAGAGAATCCTTTTCTTACCTATTCAAATACATTGCATAAGAATCCGCTAATGCAATTCCTGAATTCTCATATAAAACGTCTTTAGACTTGCGTAAGGAATGCAATCATAAGAATCTGTTTTCCCCTGATCATTTGTTTGATAGATGAAAACAAATGTGAAGTATTGTCGAATCAAGCAGTAAAGTGTAACAAGATAACGTTGACCACAAATCATATTTCCCAGTTATTAAAAAGATTACAACAAGATTTGATAAAGATCGAGTAAATATTAGACAATATTTATCTACTGTTTTTATTGATCAATATACTGTTAATAAAGGTTTATAAAGAAAGAAGTCAAGTTAATTGTATAGGATTAAAAGATTCTGTTTAAAGGGCTAACTACGTGAAAAGAAATGTTCTCAATTAATAATAGCTTTTTCTGTTGCTGATCGACCGAAATTTTCTGGTGAATACATTTCTTCTGCTTTTGCTGGTGGCATGATAAATGTTCCAGCACATGTTGCACGCATAATGTAACTCCATTGATAAACACCGGGCCATAATAATGATCGAAATGCTTCAGCACGTTCATCACGTAAGTTTTCATGTTCAGTCCAACCGAGAATATAATTTGAATAATATCTACTTGGATCTGATCTTGTTACAGATGATTCTGTATCACCGGTTATTGTACCTTTCAATTGAGTATTCAATGCTTCACATCCAGCTGGTAAATAATCCACTAATGCAATGTGATATCGTCGTTGTGTTGTTGCCATTGTTAATACAACTTTAACTTTCTCACCTAATTTGAATTTCCATGTGTTATCTTCTTGTTTTTGAACATGTGATGGATCATCAACACCTACGTAAGTACGTTCAATCTTAAAACCATAATTGGCAGCATTTAATTGTAAACTTGAGGGTGCATAATTCAATGCAATACGATAATATAATCGACCTGAACCATCTTTCTGCATGATTAGATTCTTATCATTTGATTGAGAAAGAACAACTTTCATTGGAATATCGACTGTCGTTGTGTTTGTTGTTCGACCTTTGTATTGATGTTGACCACAATAATCATTATCAAGCCAAATCTTTGCAACGAAATCTGGTGTATCTTTTTCTTTGATATGAAAATATTTGTCTAATGCAATCAAAACGAAACAATTTTCCTGTGTCGATTTCCATGCACCTTTGACTTTATGTGCTTGGAGACCTTTGCATATTTTTGTACAAAGTGTTGATTGTGGATCGATGTGCAATAATGCTTCCAACAGAATGGCATCTGTTCGTTGATTCGAATGCAACATAACTGATTGACCATCATCACCATACGATGTGATGAAATTGGCTGTTTCAGCAGTTTCACTCACTTTTCCTTTAAGATGTTTATAAATCGAATCAATCAATGCAGTTGCTTGCTTATTTTGTTCGGTTGATAATGCAACTAAAAGCCAACCTAATGCTTCTAAACTAAGTTTTTTAAGACCACTTCGTTCGAATAGTTTCACAGCTTCATCGGCGACATTTTGTCCATTTTTTGCGCGTACATACAATGCATAACTCATCAAACTGAATTTAGTCGCTTCACTCCAATATTTTGTGTATGACAATTCATTTATTTCCGATTCAATATGACTTAAATATTGAAGAGCATTGCTCAACATATTTGCATCGACATCACATACCTTTACAAGAAAATTATAGTTCTATTTCGAAATTATGTGCTGTTCTTTACCTGTTTTTTCGTGACGACAACTAAACAATGAGCGACGTGTATGCTGACAAATGGATCGGCAAAACGATCAATTCGATTTGTCCAATAATCAAATCCACCATTTGGATATTGACGACCTTTCAATGTGTTCATATCGGATTGTAATTTTGTTGCTATTTCAGTTGTTTGTGGTAAATCTTTGCATTGAAATGCTTGTAGAACATCCCACAATGCATGCACACCCAATAGTCTTGAACTCAATTGTTCTGTACATTCGTATGGATATGTATACAATGAAATAATGGCATCTGTTAATGATGCTAATGCTGTTGAACTTGTTGAAACTGATAATTCACCGAATTGTGGAATTACATTTTCGGGTGTTTTGATCGGTTGAAAAACAACGTTTTCTTCGCTGACATCACCATACGTTGCAAATGCTTCTGATGTTGCCGGTGTAAAAACGGGTACACTTAATTCAATAGCATCACCGAATGGCGCTTGATTCTCACTCGGAATTGTACTAACAATGAATTGAAAACGTGCAGTGCCTGCATCGACTGTTGACAGGGGAAATACGACAGCTGCTCGTTTATTCGGTTTCAGTTGAACAGCATAACCAGCAAATTGTTGGTTGGTTTCTGACGTAATTAGTTTGGCATTGGCTGCTTTTAGACCAGCATGTAATGATAATAGTTGATCAGTTTGATTTTGTAGAACAACTGAAAATTTAGCTGTATCACCATAGTTGAGAAATCGTGGTGGTGAAGGACGTATCATAACTGGCAATTGTACAGTAAATGCCATTTCACCTAAACCATACTGTTGTTCATTTGTTGCAATAGCCCATACACGATAACGCGTGAGATTATCAGGTAGTTTAAAGTCGAATGAAACATGTCCTGATGAGTCTGTGGATGCTGACGGTACCCAACATGCCAATGGATTGAAATTTGATCGAACTGCTATTGATTGGTCAGCAACACCACCACCACCGCCGCCGCGACTGCTGCAACGATCCATACAACAACACGCCATCGGTGCCGCATAGCAGCAATGCTTCATCATACATGATTCTGCAACCATACCTCGACTCATACTTTGTTGCATTTGCTTTTTGAATTGTTGTATATCTTGCATATTGAATAATAAACAACGGTCTCTGCCATGCTGCTGTGAAATAGCTGTTGATCGATTTGGATAGAATACGTCTAATGGACTCGATAATTTGTAATCGGTTAGTGACAAAATCGCTTCGTCAACGACAACCAGACAAACTTCAACTGTGTTTGTGGGTGTTTTACCTCCGAATTGTGTGATGTCGACATCAATATGAATAGTTGATGATGGAGTAAAAGTTTTCTGTTCATCTTTTGTATTCACTGAAACATTTAATTTGTAGACATCTCGGGAAACTTCCAATGCAACCGAACCAACAGCAATAGCTGGACGATTAGGTCCTTCGGATTCTTCTGTATCTCTTGGAAGTGAGCCTGTTAATTCAACGTTTGCGGTAAATCCTGGAATCCAATCTTGTGATATTTGAAATTCAACTGTTGCCGAATCTCTTCCAGATTCGACTTGAAATTGTACTGGTTGTGAAACTTCACCTTCACAATCGAATAAGACTAGACCAGCAGCCGGACTAAATGGTGCTAAGACTAGTAATTCGCATTTGTCACCTGCTTGGTAATTTGTTGCATTGGGTATAATCGTCAAGGTGTCTGTTGGAATATATTCAACTTTTTGTTGTTGAAGTTCTTTTCCAGCACCACCAGTAACATAGAGGTTCTCATAGAAGCTCATTGCTGACCGTCCTTGTTCATCCTTGACAGTAAACGTGATGTTGTATTGACCACCTAGTTTTGGTGTAAATTCTATAGTAATAGCATCTTTGTTGGAACTGACATTTGTAATTTGTTGTTCATCTTTGATTTCTTCATAAATGGTTAGACCACTTGCATCTTCTTTTCTTTCTTTTCCGGTACCGACAATTTTACATTCAACGGAAACATTATCAATTAAATTTCCATCGATATCTGTAACAATAACTTTGCTCTGTATGGGTTGATCTTTTTTACCATAATTCGTTGTCATTTGAAATCCAACATAGTATGTCGATGGATGAATAAGAAATTGTGTTTGTGTTTCTTGTGTTTGATTATTCAAATCCGTAATTGCTGCTAATGCACGAACCATCGTTGGTCTTGGTTCAGTTTCAATGCCATGATACGTGATTTTCACTTCATGTGCACCTCGACTATCGGTTTTACCATAGAAGTATTGTGCGGGATACCTTATTTTCTTGTCATCGTTATTACCAAACCAACAGAAGAATGGTCGAGCTCTACCAAACGTATAGTCAGATCGATTCGGTGGTGTAAATGTTGTTGTTTCAGCACTGACGTTCCATTGAACATTGGCGTCACTTAAGAAACCTCCAGCAAACAATTTTCCTTGACAACTTGCAATGACGTATTGATCATTAGTTGGATGAGAATAATGAACTGTTGTTGGTCGAGTCGATGATGAAACTTCATATTCTGGTCGACGAAATTCTTGGATTTTAAAAGAATGTGTTGTTTGAGTTTGTGAACTTGGTAAATTAAATGTTACCCATCCTTCACCTAATTGATGACATGAAATATGCAAATAATTAAGAAAATATTTCAAATATGAAACCTACCTAAATTAATATTGTCAGGCAAAGTAAATTTGATATCGAATGCACCGTAATTATTCAATTCAACTTTGGATTCTTGAAGTTGTTGACCACGAGGATCATGAACCGTATAATCGATAACACCTTGTGCATAAGTTGGTAGTTTAGCATCGCCTTTCACTGCCAAGTATCGAACATATCCTTTGATATGCACTTCTTCTTTTGGTTTGTATAATCCTCGATCATTGAATACGTGCCAAACATAAGTATTCACATTTGAAGCATAAGAATAGATGTCGGGTAACATACATAAATCTTCACCTTTTTGTGCTATCAACATTTTTCCTTGGTTGTTTTCCTCCGCAATATTCTGGAGGATGGTGCACAATCCTTGTTGATTTGTTTCACCTTTCTGATTTGATATGGAAACAGTTGCTTGTTGAACAGGCACACCAGTCATTAAGTCGGTTATCCACGTTGTGAATCGAACACTTGTGCCACCACGTGCTGATGAATGAAACACATCGATCGCTAATCGAGTACATTGTAACCAAGCCGATATGACCGGTTTTTCTTCCCATTCATTATGTGGATATTCATTCCAAGCTTTTTGTGTTGGTGTGATCAAAATGATTAGTTGACCAACACCTGATTCTTGTGCTAGATAAGATTTTAATGGAATTTTCATTTCTTTTGGTTCATCACGTTCGCAATTCGTTTGTATTGTTTCATTGACTAATTCTTTTCCGGGTAAATGAATATTTGCTACTTGTTTTCCATCTTCATATGAATAGGGTTGGAAACACGGTAACTCTTGTCGATAATCTGTTGGTTCGACTCGATTAACACGAAGTGTTACTTCCGAATAATTATAAATCATAAGTGGATAAAATGGGTCATCTAATACACCAGGATCCATGATAATCATACCTAGAACAAATGTCGCTTATTGAAAAGAGAGAAAGAATGAATAGTTGAACGCACCTGTAGCGCCTGCTAGATGACCTTGTGGTGGTGGTGAATCGTGTACATGAAACTCAATAGGTTGTGCAGCAAAATCATGCTCTAATGTTTGACCGTGAATGTCTTTTAAGACATCTGGTTGAATGGTCAATGTGTAAACAGTATTTGGCTTGGAATTATTATGTATAGTTATTTGTTGATCATTATACTCGACATGTTCAATACCTTAAATGAGACTTTATTTTCGGTACATGGATGAAGGATCGCAATTTACCTAGACCAGTGACTTCTGGTTCAACTTTAAAGATCGATTTATTAATTGTTGAATGATCCAATGAGTTGTTGAATGTTACTGACCAGCTATTACCAGGGTTAGTCGATGATTGGTATTGTTCGTTCTTATTCGGATACCAAGCAGTAATTTTCAGAGGCTCATATGTTTGAAAACTGTTTGACCATTCTGTTGTACTTTTTAATGGACCCTCAGCTGATGGACAGCCTGCAGGTACTTTAACAAAATATTGTGTCGCTTTTGATAGATCATTTTTGAATGTAAATGTAACAGATCTCCCACTGATTCCTTCATCGGAAAGAAAAAATCCTTCCAGTGCTTTTTTTCCTGCGGCTTCGTCCAACAATTCCAAATCATTGTTTGCTATTTCACATTCATCATTGCTGACTACGCGTAAATGTTGCAGGATTTGATTTTGGTCAATCTTTTGATCGAATAATAAACAACACGTCGGCTTTAATGTTGCGACTGTACCATATGGTGTGAATTGAACAACACTTGGTGGCGTTGTAGCAAATTCGAATGAGAGTTCATCCGCTAATTTTCCTAAGAGAGAAAAAGAGAACAATTCGAATGTGAGGAATTCTTTAGAAGACTTACCACCGATTGCTGATACACATTTGTCTTTCTTGACCTGTAATGTGTACTTTGTTGCAAATGGTAAACGATGTTTCGCTTCAAATTGAACCGTTTTCGTACCTGTCCATCGCCATCGACCTTCGACATTCGGTGTCAATGATATACCAAGATTTTCTACATTCGCGTTTTCATCCAGTGTAGAGACGGCGATCATCGGCTGATTGAACGTGATCGTAGCTGTTGCTAGTGAATAATTTATTTCAGTTTCAGTCGGAGAATATCGTTCGATAATGAGCGGACCTGCTTCTTGTTGAGCTAATTGTTTTAATTGTTCAGGATCGATATCACCGCACTCTTTACGATCTTCAGCAGGTGGCGGAAATGGTGCTTGGATGATCTGACCTGTTTTCGGTGCTTTAATTGATGCATCACGTTTGAAAAATTCCTGTTGATCATCGGATTGTGTCACCAATTGAGAACTGGCTCGAGAAAACAACTGTTGTAATTGTTCCGAATTCAAGTTCTGTTGTTGCGATTGTGAATCGTCCGCCAACGGTGATTCACCGGCATTAGTCGTAATTTGTTCATCAGCTTGATCTGCTTCACTGAGAGCGAAGGAGAACTTGGAAGGTTCGGATGGTTTATATGCAACCGGTGGAATGGGACGTCGCATTATTCTTGGCATGTTCGAATAAAAATGAAGTAGAAAGGTAATTTTATCTAAAAGATAAATATTATGAATCACGCTGATTAATCAGTATGTATGAATAATTCTTTCTCATTCGCTCATTTTTATATCGGTAGAAAAAAATCAATTGGGGTCCTATGTACATTTTTTGTTCGTAACAAGAAAAATGTCATCTACAATTAATGAAAGAAATTTCGTCTTGTTTTTATACTGCAACAGGCATGAAAGCGGTGATTGGAGGAGGCAAAAATAGCACAGAAAAAAACAAGCACAAAATGTATTACTTGTTGTTTTTTATGAGTTTAATGAGATGTGCAATATTCGTTGTGCAAGTTGTTTTTCTCGTTCTATTCTAATGGTTTTTATACCAACCTTTTCGATGAAAGTCCAATTAGAAAAATACTGAAGTGCTTTCTCTTTCCATCGAAGAAGAAATACATGTTAAACTATGTTTCTAATTGCTGTAAGGTATAAAACAAAGAAACCACTACATAGGTTTCTGTGTCGATTATCGACGCGAGTCAGATCAATCGAATGTCAAACTTAATTCTTATGATCAAGTGTATGTTGTCGCTGAGACTTCGAAGTGTTGTGGATACTTGATATGAAGAATATTTGTGTACGCATATTGTTTTACATGCACGCTTAATGGAGTAAACGACGAAGGAAAAAGAAAAACATACACTGGCTAATCGATGAATTTTTTCATATGAAAGTAAATGTATCAAGCAGATGTCACTGAAAGTCAAACTCAGAGCAACAATTCTTTTATCCAAAAAGAAATGCATGACATCCGTCAGACGTTGAAGAAAATTCCGTCTCACATAATCGCAGTCAAACACTTAACCTCGTTGTGATCGGCGGAGAATATACTTTTTCTTCTTGCTGAGACTTCTATTGACGTACACCCCTCATACAGTGTGGTGGCCTGGATTTTATTTCAAGAGAGCTATTGACAATGTAACACACACTACGATGAATCAGCTTGATGACTATTTACACAAAAAAATATGTTTGACTTCATTTCGAAATGTTTTCGAGACAACTAAGTTGGTATAGAATCCAACACAGTATGGAATATAACCGAAAAATGAACATATATATTGAATTGAAGTATCCGCCTGGATTTGATCGGCACTTTTCATATTCGATTGAGTAATCTGAAGGTATAAATTAAACGCTGTTTGAGGATATGTGCACATGACATATACACAGATGTCGATCAATAAAATACGAACTAATTGATAATCTCTCGCATGAAATGATTGTATACTACGGCCTTTTCCCGTTCCCATCGTTAGTACGTCGGGAGCGACTAGCCGGAATCTTAGTTGGTGAACATTTTTGATCGCTAACATGCCCAAACTTGCCAAAAGCGATGGAATCAGTATGCTTTTAATGACTGTGTAGTAGCTGATAGCTGACAAATATATTGGCGACTGTGTATAACATATAAAAACATCTGGTGCCAGCTGGATGACGGACATGAGAAACCATGGATGACTGTGAAACAACAACCACAACAGTGTTACACAGACAATACTGATGTAAGCACGACGACAAGTACTTCGTTGTCTCGTCAACGCATTTGGTGAAGTGACTAGGATGCGATCGATTGAAGCCAGAATCAATAAACTTGGACTAAGGACATCCAGAGCGAAAGCTGTATACAAATTAAATCGACACAAGCCTAGCGTGCGTGTAACAATCGTCATGCCATATCCAATGGATAATACAGATGCTAATATGAGTGTAACAATCTGGGTCAAATTTGAAATATGAAACGCTGTCATATAGATCGAACATGGATTTTTACGGAGAATCTTTTTGTTGAACACTATGCAACTGAGAGAAGAGCCAACGAAACCTAAAACTAACATGATTGATCCAGGATATTGAAAGAGATACTTGTAGGTTAGTTGTAATGAATTTATGTAGTCCGTTGTTGTTGATTGTGAAGACATAGAGAAGAAGAGACTGTTGGCGGTAAATACGAAGAATAAATGTAGAGTAGAAATAATTTTCACGACTCTCTTTATAATCCGCCTTTAGTCTATATTTCAAACAGAGAGACGGTGTAAAAGGAATTCCATTTTGAGCGATCTATTCCGGAGATGTCTCTTCCTTGCATTCATTATGGTGTATTTGTAATTATCGTATGTTGTTTTCATCGGTTTATACATGTCAATTCACATATAGGACATCGGCTCTTGACGAGCGTTTCCTTCTGATAAATGACATGAATGAATAGATCGTAATTTAGGAAAGAGATGAAAGTTGAGTGCAACATCAATATTATGCTATTTTTGTAAAATTTTCAGGTCAAATAAAGAAAAGATAATCAGCTAAAGAAAACGCTCATGGTATTAATATCACACTCACGGAAACTGTGAAACGAGAGGTAATTGTCTATTGTTGAGAGACTCGAAAGGCATCCACAGTAAAGTTCTTCATTCCTAGCAAAAGAAAGCATATTTGAAAGTCATCAATATACTTCAAGTAACTTTCGAGTTCATTATACTGTATCACACTTCGTTCATCTGAAAATGTTTATAAGGTTCTCGGAAGCCTGAAGTCAAAAATGAACGTCACGTTAGCAAAAGGATGACATGCGACTGTTTTACTCGCGGATAGATATTTCGAAAAGTAGCAGTGTGATTTTGAGGTTATATTGAGTGTTAAATTTTCAGTAGAAACTTAGATAAACGCATGTATTATTAAATACATCATTGGAAGCATAGCGATTTGTTCATAAAGAATATTTATTTGCAAAAATGAACATTATTCGCTTCTTTTCGACGTATTTTCGACAAAATCAGCTCGGTGTAAAACTCAACACTAATTTGGGATGAGAAAATACAGACCAATTGACGATCCTTCAAATGGAACGATCGTGTACTACGATGACTATCTGTAGACGTTCTCAGTGTGTCACGATGGACTGCGTGATGTCTCGTTCGATGAATATTTCTTATAGATAAAACTTCTAAATCTGCTACAAGCGATGAGATTCGAATACTTTTAATAGCTAAATAATAGACATGAACAACCATCGATGGATATGAAATGACACTCATACTATTTGTCATGAAAACAGTGCTGATACAAGCTAGACGACAAGTACTTCGTTGTCTCGTCAATGCATTTGATGAAGCGATTAGGATGCGATCGATAGAAGCCAGAATCAATAGACTTGGACTAATAGCATTCAAGGCAAAATCCATGTACAAACAGAATCGACAAACGCCCGATGTAATTCTGATGAATATCACACCATACCCACGAAAAAATTTTTCGATCAAAACCGCGGCATATCACGGTGCGACAAGGCGTTGGTGTCAGCGGTTTAATGAACCGCGAAAGTCAGACCTTTTATTAGGTTTTCTCACACCGGTCGAAACCGCGATCTGAGAATACCGCGGTTATTAATGGTTTTTCGAAAAAAAAACGTAATTCACCATCATGGTGGTATACCATCTCTGCCATCTATCTCATTGTCATCTACTATTTCCACACGGTCATTTCACACCTCGGTCAGCTCATTAGATGCCACTTCCTATTTTTTATTTTTATTCCTTTAATTAGATTCGAACGGCTTACCTTATGATTGTGGTCCACTAATTCCATTGAACCATCTGGTGATATTCATACTCAGATTGAATGAGATCGTCTATCTTATTTGCATCGAGAAACTCTGATTTCGATCGATATGTTTCATTTACTGATGGATTTATATGAGTCTCACGAATACTAGAGACGTCTGCTAGCTTCACGAATCTTCAAACTTCTTGAGATGCTCACATCGACGATAAACTAAGCACGATCTAGCTGGAAGACTTCTATTTATCGCCTATATTGATGGTTAGTTATGTTTAAATAAATAATCTACCTTGATGAATGTTACAATTAGGGAAAATACTCATTTATTCGAATCGTGTAGTTGATTGACCGTGATACTGCGAGTTGTTAAATGGCCTAACGAGTGGAGAGATCATAACTGATTATATTTGAAAATCTATATTTTGAGAAAATCACACATAAGTAGCATTTAGTACACGTATCTCAAGTGTATCCATAAAAAAAATATTTGTTCAAGGTCTACGTCTGACTTTCAATTATATCATTAGATTATGATAAGTAGCTGTCTTTCGTTGAAATCTGATCAATATTTTAAACTATTTTAGAACTAACTGTTTAACGAAATACATATTTAAGATCAAATTGATGTTTATTAAGTCTTTATATAACTCTAACGGTGAATAGTTTCCAAATAGGTGGAGCTATTTGTACAAAAGTAGTTCTTGTTTGAATCTTTTCAAGTTAAAATGCAAGACAGAAAGACAGACAATAATAGAGAACATGCTGAACTTATTAAAGTTTGATAAAAGAAAAGCGTGTTTATATTCTCTCGATAGCTTTTTCTCATAAATCATGCCATTTATCAACTAAAAGAGAGATGAATCTATTTGAGTTTGGATTCTTTTTTATCGTACCGTGATTTCACGTATTAAAGTTGTTGTGATACATTTCCATAACGAAAAACTAGATGAAAAGTCTAACTAAAAGCAAGAACTAAAGTATTCTGGACACCGATATCCTTAGAGAAAATTTGAAGATCGCGGCTCACAATGAGAAGCTCGCAGAATATAAACTTGTTGAAGATGACGCCTCTCAAATATCACTGGTAACCTACATTTCATCGCGCATTTTCGAAAACGCGGTCTAGAACGGTGATCACGCTGCGGTTTGTTTTGAACATACCGCGATATATTTATGTTGCGGTGCGCCACACCGCTGTTAACCGCGGTTTCTTTTCGACACCGCGACCTTCAACGATATAATCGCAGCCATTACGAAAAAACCGCGGCGATCAGCGGTATCTGTTTCAAAATTTTTTCGTGGGTGGAATTGAAACTGAACTGACTTGAGTAATTAATTTTACATATATGACTAGGTACTTCCATTGTAGAAGTCTCCAAATAAAGTATCAATTAGAAATTTTATTTTACAGACTTATATTTTTTCTTCGCTCATTGGTAGCCTTCTACCTATTTTACATGCGATTTTGTCATTACAGCAAAACTAGCTTGACTGCCCATCAGAACCTTCATCCACCTCATCTAATAAACAACAATACATATTTTTGCACGAAAACTAAAAATCCAATCAGATACAATTCACTCCAATCAATTAAACTTTATTATAAAGGTTATCATACTATGAACAATGTTAACACAACGTAAAAGACTGTTGTGTAAACATAGTTGCAACTATATCAGTCACACTGTAATCAAAATAATCTTATTTTCTAGAAAATACGCCATGAGAATGTGAGTGTTAAATCTATGCTAAACCCACACACACCAAGGGGGAAAGAGCGGAATCGTGATTCTTGGATTCCGCTCTTTCCCCCTTGTGATAAAATTAGCTTCTTAAACCATTTTACACCATCTTTGTATAGTTGATAAACCACGTACACCATTCCAATCACGAAAGATTTTCGTGAGATAGTCACTATTTCGATGTTTCAAGGTCACCTCTTTCTGTAAATCTTCACTTTCTATTATCAAAGAGAAAACTTAAACTTATTCCAGAAAAAGTAAAGGAATTAAAGAATAAAGATTGAAACAGTTTTATAGGATTTATTGATAAAGACCGTTAACCACTCAATAGTCTTCATATTAACCCATTGCATTACTGTATATGGGATAAATTTCAAAAGTTTATCAAATAGAATCAGATGGAAGCTATAAGATTCGATGAAATCATAAACAATCCCGAAGTTACAAATTATTACGTTTGGTATATATTAGCTTAAGATCAGTAAAAAGGCGAAAACATAGAATATAGTTTAGAAGCGTAAAAATGAAAACGAGCGAAGTTGAATATAAATATTTAGTAAATGCGGAAACTTCGGATTTTTATCCGAGAGCTATGTGTGCTGCAAAAAGTGTATTAGAAAACATAGGGCAATCATAAAGAAATATCATTATTTTTCCGGTAGCTCAGAAATGGCTTATTCAATGACGCTCATTTTTGAACTCAACCGAGATATTAATAAGACTAAATTGTGTAAATAATTTCACTACAATATGACTTTCCCCTCGCAAGTTATCGTGTAAACGGACAGCTGGACACACTGACTGATTCTAGTAGTGTACTCTCTTTGAATACATTAAAAAAACATTTGGTAATAGAAGGAGGATCGACAGTAAGGTAACGAGAGAGAACGGAATCGTGGCTCTTGGATTCACATGGATTCTTTATAATATTTCCCAAAATTCATGGAAATCATGAAATTCTGCAATTCTGGATTTCGTAGGATTCCACAGAATTCCAAAAATCCAGAATTTCGCTCTTTGCCCCGTTGACTATAATTCAAGAAACAAATAACTATAGTCATCGACACATGTATTCATTACCAACAGTGGTTAGTGTAAGAAAACCAAAGAAAACATATCCATATGAGATTCGGAAGGCGATGCAGATAACCTCCTTTAGTAGTTTTAGCTACTTGTCGAAAACATAATTATGAACTTATAAGGGATTCTTGGGAATCCAGGATTCCAGAATTCCGTACTTTTTCCCTTGATGTCATCAGAGATGACGAAACGTCGAAAAATACAAGAAAATCAAAATTTTGTCTCTCTTCACTCAAAAATCACTCATTTTCGTTTAAGAAAAATTTTATTATTGTTAAGAGTTATTATTGAATTACAAATAGACAAGGACAAAATTGATCTTGAAAATTTCTTCATATCTTCATTATCAAAACATTAAAAGGGATTAACGTAAATGTTCACTTCTTGCATGGGCTATGGAATTTTGTTTTAAAATTCTTTCTTCTGATTGTTTAGCTTCATTACACTGAATTACAATAAATTCTTCGGATTCTGTTTCAAATCGAATAAAACCATTATCTTCCTTATTTGATATTTCATCAATTAATTCTGCTAGATGCTTAATATTCTTAATTTTGATACCATTCACAGTTTTTAACACAGCATCTATAGCATCTGAAGTAATTCCATGATTAACATCATCAGAAAGTATTTGATCCATAATAACGATCTGTTGAGTTAGTTCTTGTAATTTACCATTACATGCTAAGTTAACTAAATTTTCTGGAGCTTTCTGAGCCCAGTCATTATCACCCCACTCATACAGATAAAAGCGAGTTAATACTGTGAATACAATTCCAGCATAAATTAAATATTCTGGGCGTTTATCATGAGAATGATATGGAACGAGTGCGGGAATATAACAAAGCGAACTTGTTAATGTTATTTCTTCTCCTAACAATTAAACATAAATTTTAAATGAAACAAAATCAATAGTTTGATTTCATGCGAATTGTGTACATTCAGATTTTGTAGACTCGCATCGTACTCTTTTGGATCTGGAATCATGAGAACTTATAGTTTCCCCTTGTATCGTATAAAGTAAAAGGAAATATACTAAAATCTACTTGGTTATATCTCACCCATAATATAGTAAACTATCTATAGCAATACTATAATTAAATGTATCTCTACTAAGACCATTTAACGAATGAAAGAAAGTTGAAAATTTTCACATTTCTTACCTTGTCTTACAATTCTCAATGTAACTGTATCACCAACAAATTTTGACTTTATCAAATGTATAAAACTGAGTCTTTCGCCACGACGAAAATAGATTGTACCATCATCAGCAATTGGCGTATCATCTATAGCTATGATGACATCATCTTCCTTTAATATTTTGCTAAAAGCAGATGTCGGTTCAATCGATGTCACTAAAATACCATGTTGATCATCGGTTAGTTTTAAATACTTTCGATATGAGGAATTTTCCATTAATTGGTATCGAAACCTTACTTCAGGAAAAGCGGTATATCTCCCGTGTAATTCAACATCATCTAGCAGATGTCTGATTACTACGACTGGTATAATGTAGCCAATTGATTGAGCTTTTTTGATGATTTGAAATGACATACCGACAACTTGTTTACCTATGCAGAAAAACAGTGTCGTAGTCAGATGAGTAAAAATGATGTACTTAATTGATCGATACTGCTTAATATTTCTAGTCATTTTAACCGAAAAAATGCGAGAAAATCATCAATAAAATCCTTTTTTTTCATACCTTGAATAGCTGGTCCACCACTATTACCAGAATTGATTGCGGCATCGATTTGTATTGTTAGCAATTTCTCTAATGAATGCGAATAAGTTGACATGCAAACTCTTGAAACGACACCCTTTGTTATCGACAAATTGTCACCACCTATATGAACAAATACCAATGATATTAAAATACAAAAAGAAACGTCAATTATTTTTACCAATTGGATAACCAACAACTATTATAGATTCTTGTAATCGAGGTATTTTATCGCTAAACGTTAATGGTTCTACATTGTCCCAAAATTGATCGTCATCGACAGTCAATATAACTAGATCACATTCATGTGCAATGTGTAATATACGTCCAGGATATTTTTTTGGATATCCGTGTTTTCGAATACGAATAGTAGAATGATTTGAAACGCCATGAGCATTTGATAGAATCCATCGGTCTTTTATTATAAATCCTGATAAATTTTTAGTCACCTGAGGTTGCACTTGCCTAAAGTAAATAATGCAAAAAGACAATATTGCTGGAAAATGTTGATTGAACACTTTCGTTCAGATCATGTTTATTTTATTCCTCAAAAATTATCTCTAAAAAAAACAGATATGAAATTTTTACCTTCATGTTCAGGAAGAGAACATGATTCGCATTTGTATTACATATGGTCGCAAAATTTTCCACTCACTCGCACACCCTCCCACTCAAGATACTACTGTATGCTTATCAAGAGACTGAATTCTGTTAAAAATACTAATCTCGAACAGGCCTTACCAAGGCGAAATAAAATTGCACGGAATTGAATTGCAACGAATTTCGACAACACTGTTTAGCAACAGTTCTAATGATTCGATGACCTCTTGATCAGTTACGTTTGATCGTTTTCGCGTCAGTAATAATGATGACTGATGTTGTTGTTGTTGATCTTTTTCTATATCATCTTCTAGAGTCAATTGTTTTGTATTCAACGGAGATAATTCATCAGTCGATGGATCCAGATGGTCTTCGGGTCGATCATTATTACCTTCCATAAAGCTATGGAAACAAATGTAGATCTAGAATAAACAGCCTGATTTTTATAGAGAATGAATCGAAAATAAAAATACAAATATGACAATTTCCGATCGAAGAGATGTGCGTTGATGGTGCTACTATCAAGGGAGGTCGTCGACCGAAAACTGAAGTTTTCGATGAAGATACTAGGTGAAACAGATGCTTCACCCAGCAATCCTTTAGTGGATGTCAGCAGAAAAACCTCGAATCTGCTACTAACTTTCATTACGTGTGCTACGCTTTTTTTTATTTCTTCTTCTCAAAAATCGCATCGATTCTACACAAAGTCCACACTTATATACATACACATCAGATGAAGAGGATTAATATAGAACATGTCATGATATTGCTTTCTTAGAGTTAATTCTCATCCTAACGTTGCGATATATGTGTAGGTTCCTACATCAGCATCCCAATTCTTATAATTTAAAAAGTCTTGAAAAAATCTTAAATGGAAAAGCATCAGAAAACTCAACACAGGATTAAAGAATCTAACTTGAGGGTATGAGTGCACCCACAATACAAGCTATGTATCTTTATCTACTTTCATTCATCGGCTCTATCCACTGTTGCCTCTCATCAATTAGTTTCATGCACTTCCACCCAGTTATACCACATTTTAATCACCCTGATCGATATCCACTGGTCTTCTACTATTCTCAGCTCTCTCTCTCTCACAAATTTACACGTAGCAGTTTTTTTCTGGTTTAGATGGGCATGTAGAATCATAATCTCGTGTTTACCATTCCTCGATTTTAGGGAAGCACATGATGCGAATCTAACAGAGCAGCATGGCTACCTTGTAGTTCAACAGATACGTGAAAATCAGAAGAAATTTCTAGACTGGCTAAATACACCCTGAAATTTTGTCAGACCTGTTTGAATTTCTTTGGCAAGATAAATTCCAACAATATTTTAGCCTTCTAAATTGCTGGAATGATTCACAGTCAGAATAAAGCATCTTCTCTCTTATATTTCTCCGTTTACGATCATGTCTGTTTCACATAGATTAATCGTGACAAAAACTTGTTGGTAGTTGAAAGAAATGTAATGCGATACAATGACAAAGCAGTAAATAGACGTGCTCTTACAATTAAATAGAGGGTAGTCACGGAACATGCAGAACTAAGCGTTTGCAATAGAATATGATTAAACGATCTCTCGAACATTCGATATATAGTTAGAGAAGAAAATATCTCCTTCTCATCGTGTGCGAAGCCATTACAAGAAGGAGGAGAAAGTCAAAAATGATATTCATTGAATTCTGATCGTTATTATGTTTCTGTGTTTGTTTAATTAGTTGAAATAATAGCACTGTCAAATACTATATAAGTGTAATGAAAATATTTTTATGCATATACTAGCGGTAGGTACCCGATGATGGTTAAGAACCTTGGACGCTGAAAACTTCCTATATGAGAAAATGACAGGAGACCCACAGAACGTTGTCCTTGAAATTCTTCATGCACCGCAACATATCCTGCTACGTTTATCTAAACATAGAACAACTCATACTATGCAGCATTCCAAATTCACTCATTTTCTAACAGTTTCCAATGTTTGAGTTTCCTGTACAGGCTCCGCTCCAGCTCGATCTCAACCACAGTTCGTACCTAAAAACCTTAGACCTCGAGTTAAACTTTCATCTATCGTGGATACTCTAAATTAACTAACTATAACAGGGTCAGAATGCATAGAGAACAGACAAACATTCTTCTTTATGTATTCAGTCGCCACAAAAGCTAGTACTACGAAAGTTTCTACCGCACTTGCGTGAGTCTCGTGGAATTGAGCACAAATGGGTTTAGTTTCCAGTGTGTCAGCTTTTTCACATCAATTAATAAAGCTAAGGTATAACGATGTAAGATTGATGGTATTAATCCAGAGAATCCTTGCATTCTCATCGTGAACTGTATGTAAAAGTGAGTAAACCTTATGTATCAAGTAGTTGCTCAGTAAAGAATGATATTTCAGTGAAACGTCGATTTGATACGTTATAGCGTTTTCGGGGAAATAGAAATTTGCATCGGCTATAGACAACAATTATGGACTTTGTTTTTACTTTCCGTAATGGCCGTAATGGAGAATTTCCCAATTTTCCAGTTTCGCATTTCCATTACGCCCATTACGGAAAGTAAAAATAAGGTCTATATTGGACATAATCATTATATTGATGAAGTATAACGCAGTATATATTCATCGTACCGGTTGTTGTAGTCTTCCTAACATCGAGATATAGCTCTCATCACCCTTCGCGACACCCTCAATGAGATGATACCCTCATCACCCTCCGCAGCACCCTCAATGAGATGATAGTATCCTATACCGCCCCATACTGAAATTCAATTTCCAGGAATTTCCTGGGCATCCGAAATGCATTGGATTTCCCGGCTAACGCTATAATGCATCATATGCTGAAATAGTAGAGTAAAAATACTTTCAAGGTGTGATGGTGCGGATGCGGATGTGGGTAAGAGTAAGTGTGAATAAATCAATATTTTCTTTGATCATCTATACCATCAATGGCTATGACGAATGGCAGTTAGAAGGAAGCTCAGCTTTCGAGATCGTCGTCGAATACGATCTTTAGTCAGTCTATGCATGAAAATATTTGTGTCATCGAGACTTTCAAGTGGCTCAAGGTGAGTTGATAGCAAATTGAACTTTGCAGTAAGGTCAGATTACATCCACCTTTTTATTAACGAACTAACTGAAAGCGTTCTCTACTACATATGATATATGAACCAATTCATTGGCGAATAAAGTACAACTGATATGAGCAGCAATCGATTATCGATACACAACTGTCTTAGATGCAATGCATTTGTTATCGATAAAAAAGAACTTCGAACAGTATCTGATAGTATATGACTACAATTTATCCATTGAGAGTGAAAGAATAGTAGGAATTGAAACCGTACACATACTCCTTTAAGAGTTTTTGACCTTCTATTTTCTAGTGTAGACACACGATCTATATAATCTTCAATTAGTTTGGTTCATTTTAATAACTAAAAAACTGGAAAATAAGTAAAAAGATGCATTGATCTACTAAAAATTATGATTAAAGAAAAGTGAATGATCGTTTTCAATTGCTTGGGCAAGTTCGATAATTGATAAATGATTGAAAAACAAAGAATTAGTAATTCGAGCTGAAATTTCTTTTTGTAAAAGAGTGATTGTTCGTAAAGCCATAAGAGATGTTCCGCCCAATTGAAAAAATGATTTATTTAAATCATTTTCATCAATTAAACATTTAAGAATACGTGAAAACACATCTCGAATAGTTTTCACAAACGATAAATTTTGTTGATTAGTCGAATTATTGGTTATATCAATTGTAATCTCATTTAGATTGTTTTCTTCGANGACACCGATATCCTTAGAGAAAATTTGAAGATCGCGGCTCACAATGAGAAGCTCGCAGAATATAAACTTGTTGAAGATGACGCCTCTCAAATATCACTGGTAACCTACATTTCATCGCGCATTTTCGAAAACGCGGTCTAGAACGGTGATCACGCTGCGGTTTGTTTTGAACATACCGCGATATATTTATGTTGCGATGCGCCATACCGCTGTTAACCGCGGTTTCTTTTCGACACCGCGACCTTCAACGATATAACCGCAGCCATTACGAAAAAACCGCGGCGATCAGCGGTATCTGTTTCAAAATTTTTTCGTGGGTAGCCAATGGATAGTACGGATGACAGCATGAATGTAGATTGAACACGGTTTTTTTGCAAAGAGACTTTTTATTGAAGACTATGCAGCTAAAGATACATCCAACCGAACCTAAAACTACGAAGATGGATTCAGAATATTGAAAGAGATGTTTGTAAATTAGTTGCCGACTGTGTTGAAGTCATGAGAAACTGTAAAATTAAGTAGATTGATACATCTACTTGGACACTTTTAATTCAGTGTGACCTATGCTCAGCGAAAGTAGCAAAATACTTTTACGTGCCTATCTCCTATATCTACCGCAATTACCGCCCGTTTTCTTTTCATCCTCCGTTAATGTAAGTATACTATCTTAACCCTTTGACTTCCGAATTAATTTTTGTTGGATTGAATTCAAGTAAATCATTGGATTAGCTTCTTTTAGACATAAGAGTATATGTCAGATATATCTTATGTCTTCTTACAGATGATTAGTCGATTTACGCAATGTAAGGTACATTGAACTCTGTTAGGCTGAATAGAAGTCTTAACTGTTGAAGTTTATTAATTGCAAAATCTATGCAGTGTTTTCGTGAAATAACAAAAAACAATTTTTATGCTGTTTTACACATAAAGAAATACCACAAAAACTGCATTTTATGTTACTAAATATCAGACGAGCTTTAGTGCTACAATATCCATACCTTCCTTTAGGTCCAGCAACAGGCATATGTGCTAATAATGGAGTGGATAAAGATTTGTTCTTCGTTGTCATTTGAATTCGTCTTAGCTTTTGGGCAGAAAAGTGAACAGGTCTACCTTTTCTTTTTCTTGTGCTAACATCACCAATCAGCGACATTGAAATAGAAGAGAGGAAGTCAATATAATCCATATGTTGTTCATTCAGATCGTTGTAACAAACCAACGCATTCGAAAGACTTGCACGAAGGAAGTAAATAAATATACGAAACCAATTTCGCTTAGATTTTCTATCAATCGAATAACAAGAAATGCGTTGATCAAATGAATCTACACCACCCATAAATTTGTTGTATTTACATATCATTTGTGGACAAATAACACGTTGTCTTGAACCATCTTTTTCTCCTCTAATAATTGTTTCTGTTTCCCTTGGATCGAAGAAATTACTAGCAACAAACACTGGCTTCCTGCCCTGCCATTTGACGACGGATATTTGATTGTAAGAGCAGTATTTATATTCTCCTCTTTTCAATTTCTCTTTTTGTAAAAGTTCTGTAGGAAATAACTTCCTATTAGTTCTTATCGTTCCAGTTGCTGCAATTTTCTTCTGTTTTAGTTGTAGCAGCAGAGGAATAGATGTGAAAAAGTTATCGAAAAATAGTTGGTGATTCGCTAAATTCAAGTTGTTAATAAGTTGTAAAACAACACTTTCGCCTAATGTTCCTTGTCTAGTTTCTTGTTTACCGGTATAAACATCGAAATTATAAAGATATCCTGTCAAAGAATCTGCTAAACACCACACCTTGTATTCTCTCTTGATCGGCTTTAAAGGTAAATATTGTTTCAAAGAGCTTTTACCTTTAAATTTGATCATACTTTCGTCAATGCAAATATTGGTTCCCAAAATAAAGTTCATTTGAAAGTTCGTTCTGAGTAAACGTGTGAAGTCAAAAACTTTGAATAACTTGAACCTTTTTGAACTTTTTGCAAATTGATTTTGTTTTGTATTGTCTGATAAATGGAATGAAGTAAATATTCGATAAAATTCATTCCTCGGCATAGTTTTGGAAATAATTTCTGTGTAATATATTTTATTCCGACTCCAGTAATCATTTATTCGAGGTAATCGATGTAAACCCATAATTATTAATATACCAATAAAAGCACGAATAGTACTTTCATTGACTTTTTCCCAATTACTTGGTTGTTTTTGCGCTAACGATTTTTTCTTTCCATAAATATTTGTATGTTTGATCATCAAATCATAAACATCTCGTGTGAAGAACTTGTGAAAGATATCAACTGGTTTGATGTTACTGATAAAATTTATTGTCGTGTGTCCTTTGACTTCATTTACAGAAAAATTTGTGTCTTGTATAAAGTTTTCACTCCAACTCCACTCAAGTTCTTCTTCCATTTTGTTTTCATTAGCATCCTCTTCTTCTTCTTCTTCTTCTTCTTCTTCTTCTTCTTCTTCTTCTTCTTCATTTTCATCTTCAATAACGTTTTCTTCATCTAGTTCAAGATCACTTTCATTTTCGTCATAAAAATCGCTTTCATCAGGAAAGGATAAGTCGCTTGTATTACTTTCTTGATCAGTATCCATGTTGTGCTTGTTGTGTAATCGAATTACGTTCAATCAAATGGAAACAATCGAAGCTAATTGTATACGATAAATGTGAATGTATTATAGCAGAGAACCAGTAACTATATATACATTTTGAACATTACGTTCTAGGAAGATCTAAGCGAGAACATGACGCAATGGAAAAATATATGACGTCATGGAAGAATACATATATAATATCATAGAAGAATAGTAGAACACAGGAGATAGATGAGTACGAATGACGTCATGAGAAAAGAAAAATCACACCATATAGAAGAACGCGTAAAAGTGATATATGATATCAACTGATTCGAATGATTCGTGACATTAGCTTGTGTTAAGATCGCAAGTGCCACTATATATACCTGAATTATGATATTCAGAGCAAGAGAAAAGGAAAATAGAAGATGTGAAAGCGGCTTATATGGCACAAGTACTTCGAAGAGATCATAGAACACTCTCTATTGATTTCTGTCAAAAGACTATGTGCTAGCTTTTATGAATTACACTATGAGAAAGGCAAAAAAAGACAGGTGTAGCTTTTTTTATACCAGGGAAGTCAAAGGGTTAATACAAATTTACTACGACCATCAACAACAATCATCGCTTACTCGTGTCGGTTTTCTTTCTTTACCTTTGTCAAATTTCCATATATTGAACAGGTTTAACTCAATCACTTAGGATTACATTTGACACGTCTGACTCTAGCGAACGTATCTTTTGATATTTCTATTTTTCGCCTTCAGTGCATTTAGCTACGGTAATACATACGATTATTTATCCGTCATTCTTCTATTGCTCCTAAGATCAGTTGCAATTGCATAAAAGTTGGAACACCTAGCCATTTCAACTGTCTTCTGACACCACCCCTAGCCATTCCAAACCCCTATCAGCTTCACATGGCATTATGAACAGCTCGACAACAACTCAACACCTGACCTACATAAAATCCTCCACTAAGCACACAGGTCCCCCGATCATTGATTCCAGCTACCTATCTCCAGGCACCGGGCCCAAAAAAAACCAATGAACCGTCACCCACCCGCGGACATCAAGCCCCGCGNGTCGCACACTTTCCAACGCTTTTCAGCTCTCGCTCTTCTTTCTCGCCCTCACATCCACCCTCACACCTCAATTAATCTTTATTATTCACAATCAAACGCACATACATAAAACTAAAAATATGTTCCAAGTGTTCATGCCAGTGTCTGCTTTTTGTATTGGCATTGCGACGGCCAACACAATGATTGCAACAACCTTCGCCTCATATGGCGCACCTGTTTACGGTTTTACCAAACGAGATGACTCCCGTAATGGAAGGTTTGGACTTAATTCCCAATGCCATAATAAGTGTGGGAGGCGTTACTGCAAATAATGCAGTTTCATCCAAAAATATAGAAATACATAGATTGTCCACACTTGGAATATGTATATCCATAGTAAATGTCTAGTTAGCGGGAAAGCCCGTTATTTCATTTGTTGCTACTTCTGTCCCAAATGTATCCGCGTTCACGATTTCAGGGTCATTTCATCGACTTATCTTGTAAACATGTTCCAGGAAAAAGACGAGAGAAAGAGAAATGATGCGAAAAGAAGAACTGCTGTTCCGTTTCAAGTCCTGCTAAATCACAGCATTACCCCAATTCCGGCGAGCCGAAATTGTACGCGAAACAACAGGGAAAGGTTGTACGTACCTGTGAATAAGACAGTTTTTTGTATAGGTGATTGACATTGAACGGATACATTCGGGAGATTCAACGAAAATTGCGTTTGGAAAAATGTTTATAAATTCATTGAGCTATATGGCCATTGACATATTCACTTGCCACCCAATAAGAAGAGTAACGAATAATCGATGCAGTAGTTAGCGGTTGAACAGTTTTACGAGATACGACACGCATTATGTACGTCGTGTAGTATTAAAATCACTGTTTTTTAATACTGGGCCATGTTTATTAGACTGGCTACTGCCTGCCTCCATATTTGTGACAATGTGTTTAGCACATACGAGAACAGAAGAGAAGAGCCTTGGCAATGTGAGGGAGGCGCTTTGATATGTGGTTGAATCAAATACTGTGGTGCAATTATCGTCTCTGAAATTTGCACTTTTCCCGAAACAGATTTAGCATCGTTGTTGGTATTTAACGTTGGCGAGACGTTTGAGCATTGTTGATATTAACTGACTCTTGAAGAGCTAGTTGAAAGATAATATAGGTTCCATTTTCACTGTCACGCTGGTAGCGTTGAGCAATAATGGACTTCAAGTGATCAGCTTGTTTCGTTAGAGCAATATAAAACGATGTCGATATTTAGTATTTTTCACCAAGGACAAATTTTGTGTGTCTATTGTATTACTTTTTTTTCGTGTGTGTGTGTGTTAAAATCGAATAAAGCCTTCGTATTGTCTACCTTGGTCGATTATCCTTCGAATACGTCTAGAGAAAAAAATACAGGTATGTACGTATAGATATATCTTTGACGTCAATGCCCAATGATTGGAAAGGACACAGATCAATGATCACCTCTGTTTCTCTCCATATATTAACTTTTGTATATGATAAAATATTTGGTGAAAAATGCTCCAAGTCGTGAAAAAGAAGCGGAGAAACGAAAGAACCGCTAAATAACAACTTATTTTTATGGCCTTTTCATCCATAAAATAAAATGATATCTGCTAGTTACAAGTCTATATGCTGATCTCATTTCAGAGCTATGTGTTTTGAGTAGGCATGTACCGAATCCGAATCCGGAACCGGAGATTCGGTGTCAAATCCAGTTGGATTCAAAAACATTTCAATTCGATAACTTCAAGATAAGCAAAGGTTTGAGATTCGAGATCCAAAAATTCAACATACGAAAAGATTTGATATAAAACTGCCATGTTAACAATTCGATTTCAATGACTTCTACTAGAATAGCAGATCTATTTATTTTAACGAAGAAATGTTACGCAACGTTCAATTTAATAAGAGTTAAGATTAAAAGAAGAAAGACGTCTATTCGAGTTTGTCCTTGAGAAAGACTGTAGCAGCAAGATTGTCTGGCGTTAAACGAGATCGTTCTTTACGACCGATAAAACTTGAGATTGAAACCCGGCTTCAGCAGGAACGCTGGTGTCAGGTGTAGCTAGAAAGCGGCGGGACAAAGACGACAAGATCGGAAATTCACGGGCATATGTCGACCAAAATTGTAAAACTGTAGAATCAGCATGCTTCAACTCCATGAATTTTGCAGCTAGAAGGCAATAACGTCGAAATTCTTCAACAAGTGTCGCTCGTTTGCCCTTCATGTTCATCGATCCATGTACAACCGACTGTAAAAAAAAGCATTAATCGGTGTGCGTTCCGACGTTCTCTCGCATTCAGTGGTCGACTGTGTACTTGTTGATATCGAATCGAAACTTTTGTCAGGATTTGCGCTCGACAACTTTTTTAGTTCTCTTTCAGCCATGGTTCTTTCGCGATCCGGTATTACAGCGAATCCCATGGAATCGAAATATCCATAGATCTAAGAGAAGATGGGCAGAGGGTTGTACAATGTAATCTTTAGTTAAGAAGTGAGACTTACCCGTAACATACGCATTTGTTCTTTTTCGTCATCAATGTATTTTGTCATTTTGTCAAAAAGATAACATTTGAGTTGTTGTTCTAATTCAGTGTCACCTTCGGTATCATCGAGAAATAGTTTGAGATGATGAATGGCAAATAAACCAAGGGAGAAACGGCGGATTTCGTACTCCCAGGATTCCAGTTGTACTCCTGGGATCCCAATAGGATTTTCTATGTGTATATTATACTCTGTAATATGCTTTTTATATCCATAAATGAAATCTCTCTTCTTAAGGTCTTGTGTAACTCAAATGTGTCTCATACACTAAATAATCAGCTGTAAAACAGATTATATTTTAAGATGAAAAAAAAACTTCTTTGTCGTCAGAAGTTTGGCCACGTCACATAAGAATGTGGATGTCGAAACAACTGGAACATTAGAAGAAACTACAGTGTGCTTTTATTTTATTAACAAAAAGAAATGGAAAAAAACTACAACAACAACAGTGACTATACCTAAACTGCTACTCCTTTCAATCTTTTTTTATCTAATGACTAGCTTGCATAACTCTTTTACGTCGATCAGCTGATAATTCAGCTTTGACATCAGTAAACAACCAACAAGCAGTTTGCTTGTGGATGAACTTTTCCTTTCCATCAATTTCAATACGAAAGTAAGAGTTAGCTAATGAAGGCGAGATAGTATCAAACACTCTCATTCCATTAAATTCGGACTTATCATTTGCTGAAACTGAAACTAAATCATCTTCGTCATCAGACGAATCCTGTCCTTGCAGATTCATTAACCAACTAGTATCAGATTGATCACGATTTGATCCATCATCTTCATCATCGGTAAGGTAACTCTCGTCACCTTCGTATCCAGCTTTTTTGAATTTCTTTTCAAATTCAGTATGTTGAAAGGAACTGATTTGATTCATGTTACTTTTTTTCTTTTTCTCTAAGACAATATTAATATCGACTTTTGAGAGAAGATTATAAGCATCGTCAAACGCCTGTTTAATAATTTTGCGTATACTATCATGAGAGAGATCAGTAAATAATGAATCAGAAACTAATTTTTTCATAGCAGCATTTTTTCGCCGCCGTTTATGATGTTTTGGAAATTCAATCGGACAGTCTAGTTGACCTGACTGACTTCGATTCTCGAGGTCAGTGAAAATAGAAAGTTTACCAGCTCGCTTCAAAAATTGGTCTGTTGTGAAATTTACAACAGAAGAAAATACACCTGAAATTGATCTCGCAAGTCTGAATGTAGATTCACAAGATTGTGAATGATAGTTTGATATTGTTAAAACAGAATCAGGTAAAGTCTGTTGACATACGAGTAGACAAATCGAAAGCAAACTGTGTGCATTCAATTCAATAGAAAAATGTGCTGGTGAAGTAATAAATAAATTCTTTCTATCTTTCTCGTAGTAATATCTTAACATATCCTTCTTATCAGCTGCATGCAGCCAGGTGTACCAGATTCGGCACAAAAATACGGCAAACCAGCTATGATAAAAACGTTTGAGAATCGGTGTATTATGGTCGACATAAGCTGTTATGATACTGCGTAAGAGAAATAAATAAATTCGTGTAGATTGAGATTCATCAACATCGTCGAGTGCTAGAAGAACATCATCACTTGCGATTTTTAAACATGATGCATAGTTCTGACGATCTTTTGGCTCGATATCTGTTTTAACAAGTCCATGAAGAAATTTTTGTTTTAGTTTCAATTAGTTCAACTAATTTATTGATAGAAACCGCTTCGTTTCCAATCAAAAGTGTAGCTGTTTCGGATAGCATACGATTGCGAATCTTAATACATAAATGTATGGGATCTTGAAAACAGAAAAACACTTGTCGACATGGCATAAAAAAACCATGACGACCAATCTTTCGGTAAATCAATTTCGAACATATCCTCACGATTAAAAACTGACGTGTTAATATATTTCGCAAAAAAATCCTGTAGCAAGTCTCATCGCCAATAAATAGCGTGGATCACAATCAGTCGCCAACGAAAGAATTCGAACGTTTGATGTTTTAGACTTTTCATATATCCATATCCATCGATTAAGGACATCAACAGATTTAAAATCATTACTAATTCCAATGCTGCCAGTAGAAACGGAGACGAATATGAATTAGAAGCAACAAGTGGCTGAACCATATGAATATTCAAATGATCTGCCTTACCATTATTCTCACACCATGCTTTCAACTGATCAAACGAATTCGTGTGAAAGTGTCGGGATATAGGAATTCCATACCTCAATGGAGTTGAGAATCCTGTGAAAGTATTAGTTATACTATTGTAAGTAATTTTATTTATTACTGCAGTCGAATCTTCCGAACAAACAGCAAATTGATAGTTACAAAGTTTTTGATGATCACGTAGAGTATCATATCGAAATACACCTTCTTCGATATTACCTCCCACTTTTCTTAAACTATCATTTACGGTACTTAATCCCGGAAGTGCACCTAGTAGATTCAATCGTACGAACTCGTAACAATTTCGTCCACCTAAAATATACAATGCATGTGCAAAGTTTTGCACAGATTCACTGTATCGATAATTGTTCTTGTTTCTCACAAGATTATTGGAGATATTTTCAATAAAAGCTTGCAGAAATGAACAGTTATTTCCTGTGCCATTCGTTTGATTCAACCGATGTGAATCTATCAGTTTTCTCATTGATGAAATAAGATCATCCTTAGAAATATGGGTATTCGCATATTGTTGGCTATGATCGTTTACATTTCGAAGAGAAGACATAAAACGATCGAAATCCAAACGTAGACCTGGTTTGAGCATCATAGAACCATCAGCAAGATGAAGACATGCTTGTTCATATACAGTTTCAAGTTCTCGATATTTTTTCTGGAAAACAGATAGAATATCTTTTTCGGCCATGAGTAACTTATTTACACTATCGATTGATAGTATTTCCGTCAAATCTTGAAAAGCATTGCCACACATTCGACTCACTAACGAGGGAAGTTCCCCAGGTGTTTAAGGCCTTTAGGTCCCATCTTTTGGCGACAAGTAGACCTCAATGAGGTATGAAAAACCCCATAGGGATTTGTGCCCTTGCGCCTTTATTGCCGAGATATCGAATTCTCAAGGTATATTCAAAAAAGGATCGAATTGAAAAATTATCGTTTTCAGAGAGTAGTACAGTATTGAAGTGAAAATATTCCAAAGCTTCGCGCATCGTTCGTGCAATCTATTCTGGATTTAGTGCTAGATCATATCTCATCAGTATCATCTCCATGGATTGTTCATCGGGT